GTCCCCATGTCAGTTTCAGTTTATTGGTTAATTTTTCTAGTAGGGCTGTTTCCCATACTATTTGGTACCATTGGTCCATGCTTACTCCTGACTGGTCTCTCCACAGTGGCGTAGCGTGGGTTGTCAGCACCCGGGGCAAGGCAAGTAATTTGCGCCCCCTAACCCGTGGATTTTAGCACTCGAGTGCGAGTGCCCCCCCCAAGATGTTGCGCCCGGCCCCCCTGCACCCCCACGCTACGCCACTGCTTCAGGCCCCCCAATAAAACATTTGAGGGGGCCAGTCCCCCAGTTGATGGGCATTGCCAATGTGATCAACTATGCAGGGCGGGGTTTACTTGCCTCCCCCCCCAATATCATACTGTATTCACGTTGGCACCCCTGATGAACTCAGCGGGGCTTACTTCTGCCCCGCAAGCCTTTGCACCTCCGCGTCTCCTTTCCTCTCTATATGTAAGAGGGTGAAGGTCAGGCTGGCAGCGCAAATAAGGGCCCCTCTGCTGAAGGCCTCGCCCGCCATGACCTCATGGTCCATGGGCAGGGCAAGAAAGTGCCTTTTCCTTGGGGGGGAGGAGTCTTAAATTTCAAACCATTATTATTATTATTATTATTATTATTATTATTATGAATATCTAATGTGCATGGTTTCTCTACCTCCACCGACGACTCGCCACGTGCGAGGAGGAAGGGGGGCTCCCTTCACCTCCCCGTCCCCTCAAGGGAAAGGGAAAACGACGTGAGGAAAAGCGACGCGGGACAGCGAGCGAGGTTCTCCTCAGAGCCTTTTCCCTCCGCCCCCTCGCAAGACAGCCCTGAAGCCAAGCGCGGAGTGAGGGGCGGGGCCCGGCGGAGTCTCGCTGCCCCCCAACGCCTCTCGAGGCGGCATGAGGGGCGCCGCGTCAAGGGCGCCCGCGGGGCGCAGCGGCGGCTCCTGTCAGGGCACGAGGCGGGCCCGGCGCCTCTCCCCCACCCACCCCGTCCGCCCACCCATATCCCGCTCAGGAGGGGCCGGTGGGCTGGCAAGCGCCTCACAGCAGCAGCACCAGAGAGGGAGAGAAGTCCGCCTCCTGCCGCCGCCGCCTCTTCATCCCCAGCAGCAACTTCCCTGCCCGGCTCCCCGCTGCCGCCGCCTCCTTCTCTCCCTGCTTTGCAGTAGCAACCGCCGCCGCCACCGCTCCTCCTCTCCTCCCGGGGACGATGCTCTGGCTCCTCAGCGGCAGCTCCCGAGCCGTGTCCCCGCGGCACCTCTGCTCCCCCGGGCTCCCCTTCGCCACCTGGCTCCTGCTGCACCTCCTGGGGGCAGCGCCCATGGCCGGGGCTTCCTCCTTCCCGAGACATGGGGCTCTGCTATAGCCTGCGCCCGAGGCTCTTCGGCGACTCCGGAGGCGGCGAGCGCGCCCCCCCCCCCGATGTTGCGCCCGGTGTGGCCAACCCCCCTGCACCCCCCACACTACGCCACTGTCTCTCCAGTGTCTGGTTATGATGCTTCTGGCTGCACATCTTCACCTCGGTATGGCTCCCCTTTATCACATACACAGCCCAACAAGACAATGACAAAAATCCAACAGCGTACAAATCAATATTACAGGGACGCGCTGTGGGTTAAACCACAGAGCCTAGGACTTGCCGATCAGAAGTTCGGCAGTTCGACCTCCAGAACAGGTTCCGTTCTACTTCCAAGGTACAACTGCATTTGAAAAGCAAGTTTCTAGACCTCACTGTCACCTGAAAATGTGTGAATCTCAGAGGGCAGAGGAGTTGTTGAATAAAATTCCCAATGATCAGAGAGCTACGGTATATCAGTGCCTGATCTAGCTTGCTGCCAATCCCCATGTTAGCCAAACTAGAATGGGCAAAATAAAAGGAACCATGCAAAGGTGCTCAATCTGTATAATCTATGCAGGTTGCAAAATTCAGGGTGTGGCTTGAAACTGCCCCAGAATTTGTCATTGTTGCACCTTGGCTTAGTCTAGAGGTGGTGGTGGTGGTGAGTTTATTGTTAGAAGAGAGAAAATGAGAGAGCCCCAGAATTGTTTCCACTTCCAGAGACTCCCAGTGACCTCTTAAATCCGATTTGGAGAAAGGGATAATCCCTTAAAAAGACGGCTCCTTCCTTCTGTCTGTCTCTGTCCACTTAAAGGGACAGACTTCAGATAACCAGACCCAGTGGCCATGTGTCGCTATGGGGGCAAAGGCAAAGTCACTCTTAAAAAAGAAACACAAACTAGACATGGTTTGGCATGAGGGAAACTCCCATTAGGTTACAGAAACAAAAGACCACTCTCTTCTTAAAAGTCCACAAGGTGTCTTAACAGCTGGGAGGCTGAGAGAGTCACCTGAGAAGCTGAGCATTGCACCTGTTGAGCTATTTGCAAACAGGTTTTTGGAAAAAAATTAAGAGCAAGATAGCTCAGGTGACCTCTGAGAAGGGCTGGCTAGTCTCAGGGCACCTGCTGGACCACACAGCAAAAGCAAATGAATGGGCGATGCAAGTTTACCTGAACAGTCCTATTTGGAGCATCGTGCTGACGTTGGTGAGCCTTGGACGTGTTGGAAATGCACCGATTTTAATACAAAGATGGAAACTGAGCTCAAGATTATTTGGGCCCAGTTCTCAGGTAGAGGATGCTAGGATTCACAGGTGTGCAGCCATGGCAGCCCCCCCCCCAATCTTCCATTTCTTCCTGTGGCGGGACAGAGTTGTGTCTGTAGCTCCTCTGTTGCACCTATGTGCGGTGGCAGGTAAAGGGACCCCTGACCATTAGGTCCAGTCGTGACCAACTCTGGGGTTGCGGTGCTCATCTCGCTTTATTGGCCGAGGGAGCCGGCGTACAGCTTCCGGGTCATGTGGCCAGCATGACTAAGCCGCTTCTGGCGAACCAGAGCAGCGCATGGAAATGGCGTTTACCTTCCCGCTGGAGCGGTACCTATTTATCTACTTGCACTTGGATGTGCTTTCGAACTGCTAGGTTGGCAGGAGCAGGGACCGAGCAACGGGAGCTCACCCCGTCGCGGGGATTCGAACCGCCGACCTTCTGATCAGCAAGTCCTAGGCTCTGTGGCTTAGACCACAGCGCCACCCGTGTCCCGTGGCAAGTAGTTTGCCTGCAGAAGCTCCTAGATTCAATCCTCAGCATCTCCAGGTAGGTCTGGGAGATAATTCCTGGACAGATCCATTGACAGTGCAGACATAGAAAGCCTTAATGGCTCAGAACCGCAATACCTCAAGGACTGCCTTTCTCCAGGTGAACCTACCTGGACCCTCCAATCATCATCTGAGAACCTTCTTTGTATGCCTCTTCCATGAGAGGTCCAGAGGGTAGTGACATGAGCAACTTTCCTGTGGTGGCTCCCAGTTCATGGAAAGCTTTCCCCAGGGAAGCTCGCCTGGCGCCTTCATTATACAATTTAGATGCCAAGCGAAAACGTTCCTCTCTAGGCCAGTGATGGCCAAACTTGGCCCTCCAGCTGTTTTGGGACTACAACTCCCATCATCCCTAGCTAAGTGGTCAGGGATGATGGGAATTGTAGCCCCAAAACAGCTGGAGGGCCAAGTTTGGCCATCACTGATGTTTGGCCTTTGGCTGATGAACATTAAACATCAGGAAGAACTTTCTGACAGTAAGAGCTGTTTGACAGTGGAACGGTCTCCCTCCCTGTGGGCTCTCCTCCCTTGGAGGTTTTTAAGCAGAGGCTGGATGGCCATCTGTCATGGATGTTTGAGCTGAGATTCCTGCATTGCAGGGGGTTGGACTAGATGACCCTCGATGTCCCTTCCAACTCAACCATTCTGATTCTGTCTGATACTCTTTTAAATGTGCTGTGGGATTCTTGGTTTGCTTTTGCTCTTACTTTTATTATGTATTTTGTGTCTTTTTATCTTCTATTTTCTTTCCACAGGGCATATAAGACAGAGTTGTTCCACCTGGCCTTTGGCTTGGAATCAACTTGATCCCCTTCCCCTCTTTCTTTTTTCCTTTCTCCTTCTGTGATGGAACTCCTATTTGGGGACTTCCCTGGCTTTTTTCTAGCCCATGTAGGACCAGTCTGGATAGTTGGCCTTGGTGAAGACTTGACGGTTTTATCCCCCAAAAAGTTTTTGATTGAGTTCCACTGAAATGAGGCTGCATTTTAATGCTGTATTTTAATTTTGTTTTTTAAGCTGTATTCTAATCAATTGTTTTTATATTTGGTGTTAGCCGCCCTGAGCCCGGTCTTGGCTGGGGAGGGCGGAGTATAAATAAAATTTATCATCATCATTATTGTTGTTATTTTCATGTTCTGAACTGCCCTGAGATCTACAAATGAATGGCGGTAAACAAATTTTAATTTAATAATAATAATAATAATAATAGGCAATGGTGAGCTAGATGGAGCACTGGTCTGACTCAATATAAGGCAGCCTCTTACTTTCCCATCACCAGTACTTAAGTTGGTCAACTGGGGAGTTCAGCCGGCTTCCATTCCACGCAACTGAGGAAGAGGGTGGGGAGTTTCAGGCTGCAAATGGCTCAGGTCAGCCCATGGACTGCAGTAATAAACATACTTGCCTTTTTAAACCACATCCAGGCTGTCCAGTTTCCCCTTGAGGAAGGCGTTTATGACTTCTCTTGCAATAAGCTGCCAGCTTATCTGGAGGGGAAGCGACCTGCTGGCCCCTATTGTTTTATTCATTTAAAAGCATTTCCAAACCACTTTACGTTGCGAAAGAGGTGTATGCCACACACTGCACAAAAACAATATCCATTACAATGAAAATACAATCTAAAACCTTCTTCAGAGAGCTGTCATGGTGTAGTAGCTGGAGTGTGGGGACTAGGATGTAGGAGACCAGGGAAGCTTGATGCAGTGATAATAAATTATAATCATCATCATCATCATAATCATTATTATTATTATAACTTGAAAACAGAAAAGCAGTGGTAAGTGAGGTCCATTTATGACATCTCCCAAAATTTCCCACCCCTCCCCCAAAGCCCCACACACTACAAAGTAAGATCTTGTTTAAATAATCCACTCTATTTTATTTTGTCTTAAAATAGTTTAAACTTTATGCTACAGACTTGTTTCCAAAAAAAACAGAAAGTCTCATCTTGCACCAAAAAATATATATATTTTATAACACTCTGTTTTATTATTATTATTATTATTTTTTCTTCTCCAAAGACCATTAAATACTAGATGGAAACGAGAATGAGTGTTAAAAAGAACATTTTTGTGTGGTTTTTTTGTGTCTTTTTTTAATTCAAGAGCTACACAACTGAAAACAATAAATTCTAAGCATTTTATTTTATTTTATTTTTGTCTCCACTGGAAGATTCCAAGCTTGAGCTCCAGCAAGAAGAGAAGCTGCTAAAACCAGGCCTGTAAGGAAAACAAAGAGCCCCCAAGATGCAGCCTGCCAGTTTCTTGGGTAGAATCTGTATTTTTGTGGCACAAACGCCACATTTTTTTATCAAAGATCCTGCTGGTCTGCAAAGCGTGCCTGGGAAGCCAGGATGGGCGCATGTTTCACAGGCCTGTGCAAGGACGATCAAGTGCATTTGTTCTTAGCCATACGATGGCTACAATTTCACTTATCCATTGAGAAAAGAGAAAATCAGTCCCAGCCACCTTTTGCTCTCTCACACAAAGATGAAGAAGAAGAAAAGGGGGGAAAGGAAAAAGAAGACGAAGAAGTAATGTATTAACTATCCAGTGATTGCGGTTTGAATTTTTTCTTTCTTTTCTCTTTCTTTTTTAAAAGAACATAGCTTTAAGAAAAAATTATCCAAGTCAGCAAAAGAAACGTAGTGTTTTTTGTTTTGTTTTTTAAATTAAAAGAGAGAGACATGAACTGGTTATCAAGCTTGGAGTTCATGATTCCTTTAAAAACAAACACAGTGCACAATTAGAGGAAGTTTGGTTAGAATGCAGTCATATTTTTTATATGTACATGGAAGTCACAGCATATACAAAGTTTTTGTTTTCCCCTTCTGCTTCTTTCTTTTTTTAAAAAAAGGAAGGACTCCTAGATGCTTCTGGTACTGGCCAGCGTAAAAGGGAGGATACTGGGCTTACCAGCTTAGTAGACCAGCATGGCTCATAGATTTTCTAAAGAGAGCCAATTTTCATGTTTCAAAAGGCAACTTCATTAACGGTAGTAACGAAGCAGCCGTTCTCGGCCAATGGCTGCCTGGTTAGCTTGCTCCGGTGCTTTTCAAACGCACCTCCATCTGAATTACTTCCCCATGATGCAATCCATGCAGTCGTCACAGGCATGCGTGAAAACTGGAAATGGACATGCTGGGCGACTGGTGTTTCTCACCTGACTGCCAGCATGCCACAACCAGCTGGGAAGAGCTAGGCAGCTGGCCAATGCCTCGTGGCAGTGCCATTCACACACACACAGACACACACACACACACTCCAATCACATGGGACAGGGCCACGAGAAAGCCGTTCCCAAGCAGCCTTCTCGTGCGCAGGTGACTTTGAGCCTGGTGTTCCTTTCGCAATGTAGTTTGAGAGCGATGGAACCAGCGAGTGAGGACAAAAAGAAGGGGTGGCCTTTGGGGCAAAAGATCTGCAGGCACAACTGATAGCTTTAACAGCCTTGGGTGGTAGGTGAATACACTGTTTAGGGCCAATGGGTCCTGCGCACAGTAGCGGCTGGTGGAGTGGCGTTGCCCACCTGGCTATCCAACATGGGGGATTCTACCAATAGCTGAGAGGGAGAGGAGAGGAGGTTGGCGTGGACACAGCGTCAGATTGGCTCTGCTGCTGCTCCCGCAGTGCGCTGACCTCCCTCGCCCCTACCAGCAGCAACCTCCATGTTGAGATGGCAAGTGAGTAATGCCATGCCACCCTGCTGTTCTGGCAACCCCTGCCTGGGTCTGCTGTACATCTTCAGTCCATGCTGCTTTGCCTGCCATAGCAAGCAGGACTCGGATTTCACAATCTGGCAATTTTAGCTCGGGGGAAGGAGACACTGTTCCCAAAGTTAGCATAATCATGTTAACATTGCAGGCTGAAGGCGGAAGAAACTGCCCATGAAAATACTTTCCCCCCCAAAAAAATTTTTCCTGAGCCCTGGCAACTACTTCAGAGAGGGAGCTGCAGCCTAGACTTCTCTCAGACATCCTCGCTTTCCATTTTGCAGAGATGTTGCTAAGATGGCAGAGCCCTGAAACATGCCATTCCTTCGCCTACAGTCTGAAATAAGGCCTCACCACCGCGCAGATGTTGAAGCAACAGGTGCAGTCTCCAGATCAAAAGCTGGCAAGCCTAATGGTGTCTATTGGAACTGTGGCCAGGACAACAAAGCATTATCTGTTCAACAAGTCAAGTCCTGATTGCCTCCATCTAACAATAAAATCCAAGTCTCCAAGTCCACCTTGTGGTCATTGATAGAGTGTGGGGAGAGCAGGAGATACGACTCATCCCCTCTGCAGAAACCTGTTATCAAGTTGTTCTTTTAAGAGTGACCACATCCTTCCCACTTTATATCATCAGCAAAACTGCTCATAGCTGGCATCAAGAGCAATCTCAAGACCTGCCACATCTGCAGAACTATCCAAGGCAACCCTCTCCCAAAAGTCTTGCCCACTGAATCAAACTAAGAAGGGCAAACAAGTCCCATGCTGTCCTTCAAATGACAATCAGATGGGGACTTAGGAAGGTCTTTTTAGTACAGGCAGCGTGATCTAGTGAGCATAAAGAACTTTGTGGGAAGCATAAACGTTGTTCAGTTCAACGTAACAACACATGCAGGGATTGCACAACAAGGAGATTTTAAACTGAAAGCTGGCTGTGTGTCATTAACCACTTAACCAATGTCTATTCAACAGGCTGTATCTACTCCAGTGTAAATGATGACTGAACTGCCCCCAAAGTGCAGTCTCTTGGCTTGGCTTTCAGCAAAACTCAGTGGGACCAAGGGCCTGATCTGCCCCCCACCCTCACTTGGGGAATGCATTGGTTATCTAGGGCTTTTATAGACAACAAGAAGCATGGCGATCCAATACCACCTGTCTGAATGTCAGGACATTCGTCTTCTGTTCTAATAAGGCTCAGTATGAACTGAAGTTGCTTCTCAGCTTTGGTGTGTCCTACCCTTCCAGAGAGAGAATATTCTTACTCCTTGATAACCCAGAGTGGTAACCTTACCATATGCAAAGGTTTGGTCCACCAACAGCTACTGCCGTTGCATAAGGAAAGATCATTTTGTAGCGACCAATAACAGAACTGAAACAACTGCATGAATGCCGTTTCGAACTGTCAAGGCATTTAAGGAGTCTTGAGGAACAAAGGGCATTGCCCACATATTATTCAGAAACTGCCCCAGATGCACTAATGATTGAAGCCAACACTGGTCAGGAATCTAGCAAAACAACTTTGTCTGGGTGTGCAATGGACTCTACAGCTAAAGGTGACTGGACAAACATGAAGATCTAATGTGCCCAATGAGTCCAGCTGCCATTATGTTGCTGCCTAAGTCCTATCAGCCCTTGCAAGAGAACAGAAGGCATGCGGGAAAGGAGAAATCCCGGCTTGCAGCAAATGTCAGGACTTGCAGAATCTGGGCCAGGGAACCGTTCTAAAGCCAAGGGGCATAACCCCAAGAGTTGGTGAAGCCCAGCAGTGCTCAGCCGAGTTTTTAAAAGAAGGTAAAATCAAGGGTCATTTCTCATGTTAGTATGAAAAGCAAAGGTACACTTACAGATTAACACCTCATCTCTGAAGATGCACACACACACAAAAGGAAACTCCAATCCCCTCCCATTCTTTTTCATCCACATGAAGTGATCCATATATGTGGCAAAGCTTCCCTTGCTGCTCCAGATTTCGCTGCTTTTTCTGCGGCAGCAATCAAATGAATGAAGGCAAAGCCGTGCTGGGTAATTCTCAGGGGCGACGGCTATGTAAGAGGATATGTTCTACTTTTGATCATACATGCTTTGCATACAGAGCTTCATGCTTTCCTCTGTAGGGTGGTAATATTCAGAGAAGCTACGGGAGGCTTCCTCTCTACGAGTTATTTCTTGCTCTGTTTCGAACAGAGTAGGTGCCAGTCACCCTGAGAAGAGATTGAGCTGGGCCTACTCTGTAAACATTCGCCCAGCTGAGAAAATGCTTCCCTTGGAAGGCGAGTCCCTAGCGACCCAGCAGCCTCCTCTAATTCTTCTCTTGCTAAGAGGAGGACAGGAAGGATAGTGTGCTAAAGGTTTGTTAAAAACCGAAATTCCTTTGTACAAATGCAGCCCAGGGCAGAAGGATCAACTCTAGTGCTCATGTTCTGCTTTTACATACCTCCAAACACATAGAGATACGGGTTAGGCTGCACCCAGACCTTTAAAGCTTAACATGAAAACCACACCTGAGATCAGAATTAGGTACTTTTGTGATGTGTCACTTCCTTGTGCTTTTGTTTGCTTCGGGTGAACGACAACAATAACAAAACAAAACAAAAAAAGGCTGTAACAATCTGGGCCAAATGACCAGTAACAGTACAGTAGTCTAAAGAGAAAAAATAAAATGCGTTATTATGAGGAGACTGAGCACTGAGCAGTGTGCAAGCTACAAATTATGTTGAGAACAATCTTTAGGGTTTTAAACAGAGCTGCTCAGTGCGTGCTAGAGGCCTTTTGTGATCAATTCCTGCTGGTTTTGCAACCAAATCAACTTGCGTTAGGAATGCCCCCGTCTAAGCTCCCACAGTTATACTACAATCATGATGGGGGCATTCAGAGCTATGAACAAATTGGGCCAGTGGTGTTATTTATTTATTTTTAAATAATAAAAAAATGCAAGGGGAAAAATAATAATAAAGCCCCACATGTACCAGCGACATCCGTTTTAGTGGTGAATTAAAGCAATTGTACGGCTCTCTAAAGGGCGTGGGTTGGAAGGTGTTGCTGCTGCTGTCAACGAATGCTCTAAATTAATCACACACAATGAAAAAAAACCTGGAAGTTGTTATTGAATTACAGTGCCACTAAGTTTTCCGTAAGAGAGAAAGCTCCCTTTGACTACAGAGGGGTCAATATCTCAAGGAAAGTTCTTGATGATGCAATTTTAATTGGAGGGTGTCGGGGGGGAGGGGAGGAGGAGTTCAGAAGAGGAGGAAACCCTCCCGGAGGACTCTGAATTCCAGAATGCCAGGAGCAGAGGCTTTGAACACCGAGGCGATAACCAGAAACTTCTGTGCCACAAAAGGAAGAAGAGGGCTAAGTGACTAGAAAACACAGTGAAGTTGCATTACAGTAGGTATTTGCGCCTGCTGTCCTCGTCCAGCGTGAGATCCACCACTTCGGGCGGCGAAGACCAATTCTGCGGGGGGGCCACACCTGTCCATGGTTCAGATTGCCGGGTGCACTGCAGGCCTGAGACGTGTTTCCGGGAAGACACACTCTGAATCACTCCTCCCCGAGGATGGACACATCTGCGGAAAGCAAAGGGGAGACAAAGGACATTCCCGTCAAGGCTCACCTATTGGAGCACAAGGAGTGGTTTACACCAGTGGTTGTCAACCTGGTTCCTACAGCCCACTAGTGGACGTTTCAGGATTCTAGGTGGGCGGTAGAGGGTTCTGTGGCACAAGATAAATCCTCCTTCCATCAAGCCCTGGTGGGCGGTAAGGAAATTTTACCATCAAGGAAGATGCATTAGTGGGCGGTAGGTATAAAAAGGTTGACTATCCCTGGTTTACATGGATGCATTAAGACCCTAATTTCTTTGGCAAAGGGATCACCAAAATAAATGCATCAAAGCAGGGAGAGGGAGTCAGAAAAATTATGTCCAAGCATTGGCTAAAATTCTGAAGGAAATCAGCCCTGAGTGCTCACTGGAAGGATAGATCCTGAAGCTGAGGTTCCAATACTTTGGCCACCTCCTGAGCACGAGTAAGCTGAGTGACATGATGTGGGGTAGTGGATGAGGATATGGGAGGCACCCACATTTCCTGCAATGCCCCCCCTAACCTGCATGTGTAGGGGGAGGGAGCTTCAGGGAAAACAGGGGCCTGCTGAGGCCCTTGGATTGCAACCACGCCTGACTAGATCAAAGCAACGAGAAATATCATCCTGTGCCAGTTTTCTTTTAATGACATGGCTTAAAAAGGCCACCTGCCTTTCGCATTCTATGTCATTTTGCAGAGCTGTCAATGCACCTGAGAGAGAATCCCACTTCCAGATTTCCAATAACTGTTTTAGCGCTCAAAAGGTATTTGAAAGGTGAAGCCGCTTACAGCCTGTATTCCCCTTGCCACGGATGGGGAAGCCTGGGATTAGAGCTACATCGCGTGCCAGTGGCCAGAAGGTCATACAGGGTCAGTGAAGGGCTAACTCTCGCCCAGTTGGATACCTGCCATTGGCCAGACACCAAGGCCACCTGCAGCTTCTCTCCCTAGAAAGAGGAGCATGAAACCAGGACGACAGTGACTGTCTGTGCCCAGGTGCTGAGCAGGCTTCCTTGTGGTCCCCGGCACCCAGTACCTGCGTAGAGTACCTGCCTTCACACTGGAAACTGAGGGGCAGTTGGGCTCTGCACCTTTGCTCAAACGGTTCTTTGCTCTCGCTTCTTGCCTTGCCTTTTGACACCTCATTGACTTCCTCCTCGGCTTCCACTTCACTTCCTCCTCTGCTTTCACTTCTCCCTATGTCTGGAATGCCTTTCTCCCCTGCCGCTTGAAACACTTCTTTCCTGTTTTAAAAAAACGATCTCCTTAAGACTCGGGTTCTCCCTTTGCTTTGCTCCCTTATGGTTTTGCTGCTTTGGTTCGTTTAAAAATAAGCTTGCAGCGGCTTGTAGCAGCTGTGCACACTATACGGTATGCTGAAGACACCCTTCTCTGTGCCCTGTGCCTCTGGGTTCGGCAGATTCCGTCGCACTCAAATATCAATCAAATATTTGATGCTAGGTCCATGTTTAAGGTGTATGCACTTCCGGGGGTTAGATTGGGAAAAGGCAAGTCATCTTAACAGAGGGAGGGAGAAAACCTACCCACAGGCAGAAAAAAGTAAGATGACCAACTGATCTGCATTTTCTTCCTTTTCTTAAATTAATTCCAAGTATTTAGATGGACTCAGTGCTTAAAAGGGAAATTAGTACCTTGCGTGTTCCTGAACTCCCACAATCTCCACCTCGCTGTCTGATGATGCTATATTAATTTCTTCATTGACCTGGGTGTTGCTGCTGGGGGCCTTGCCGCCTGCCAGGAATCCAGCATTCAAGTGATCTGTAGAAGGCAAAGAAGAAGGACAACCCAACCCAAGATTCAGGAGCTTCATCACCCTTGCAGGAAATCCTTAGAAAGAAGCCGTTTCTCACCAACGTCAAGCAAAGACCCATTCATCACACTGCCATTGCAAAATATACCAGCCATGGATTGGGAGTCGGGGGCGGGGAGAAGACTTTCCTTCCTGGCAGACCCTGTTTTTGTATAAAAACAGACCCTTCATATATATATATATATTTTTATGATGGATCGCCACCAGGTTGAACCTGACACAGTCTACTGTCCACCTGCTAGAAAAGCTTGAGGGTCCCTTCCATCAGCCTAACTCTACAAAAAAAATAAACCCAAAGAGCACTTTTAGATTTATGAAAGGACCCAGAGGTTAACAAAACTTTGCGAAATATCCTTGGAGAATATAAAAGTGTCCCTGAACAATTGTGTGGTCTGGAAGATTTTTGTGAGAAATTCCAGAGAAATATCTTTCTAAATCATTGACACAGACATCAGATCGTTCAGAAAAGGTGGGGGAAAGGAAGGAAAAGGAAAAGTGACACATCACACACACAGATTTGCAAATAAAAATAGAAGTGTCACAGTAAGTTAGTTTTACCTGCATGAGTCGGGCTTCTGTTAAGGGGCCAACTTTTACTGGTCTCAGAATCCCATAAAAATGTTAGGCTTCACTCATGGTCTTTCATCCTTTGGAAGCATTTAATCAGAAGTTCAGGTATTCTCTCTTTCTTTCTTTCACTATCCTTTTGCAAGGAACTGTGCACATGTTCTGAGCCCTATTGGTTTGTATTACAAAAGGACTGGCTAATTTTGAGTAGCTGAGGTATCGGGAGAAAAGAGATTAAACTCAGGATATTTATTGGGGAATGAAAGGAAGAATATCTGTCTGTTTTGGACTTTCAGAGAAGTGGTCAGCCACAGGTGCTCTAGGGCAGTGTTCCCCAACCTTGGGTCTCCAGCTGTTTTTGGACTACAACTCCCATCATCCCTCACTAGCAAGACCGGTGGTCAAGGATGATGGGAATTGTAGTCCGAAAACAGCTGGAGACCCAAGGTTGGGGAACACTGCTCTAGGGGGCAAAGTTTGCCTAGTTGGAATACAGCTTGTCTCCAGCTCTCACTACCATACATCACTACTGGGAAAACCATAGCTTTCACTATACGGACCTTGCCAACAAAGCTATGGTTTTCCCAGTAGTGATGTATGGAAGTGAGAGCTGGACCATAAAGAAGGCTGATCGCTGAAGAATAGATGCTTTTGAATTATGGTGCTGGAGGAGACTCTTGAGAGTCCCATGGACTGTAAGAAGATCAAACCTATCCATTCTGAAGGAGATCAGCCCTGAGTGCTCACTGGAAGGACAGATCCTGAAGCTGAGGCGCCAAGACTTTGGCCACCTCATGAGAAGAGAAGACTCCCTGGAAAAGACCCTGATGTTGGGAAAGATGGAGGGCACAAGGAGAAGGGGACGCCAGAGGACGAGATGGTTGGACAGTGTTCTCGAAGCTACTAGCATGAGTTTGACCAAACTGCGGGGGGCAGTGGAAGACAGGAGTGCCTGGCGTGCTCTGGTCCATGGGGTCACCAAGAGTCGGACACGACTAAACAACAACAACCATGCCAGTTCAGCCATATTTACAATGTGTACACTTTGTGTAGTGAGCAGTGGAAAGAATGGGTTTGCATGCCTAGTTGCTGCAGGCCTGATGACCTCAGGCTACAGATGAAGAGTCGCGGCGGGGGGACAACAGCGTAGGCCAGGTGCAGGAGCTAGCGTAGGACTGGGACAATGTTCCCCTACTCACCTGTCTCAGCATTCAGCTCTTCTAGCAGCCCTCTCGTCCTCCAAGTAGGCCCAGTGTCCTGGTTAGCGACAGAACTGTTGTGCTCTTGGACTACCGCAGCTGCCAATAGATTGTCTACATTCACCACTTCCGGGTCGGAATTTGTGTCCGAGATATCATAGTGAGCCACAACCGGAGCTCCATCTGGGAAGGAAAGAAAACCCGCAGCTATTAAGACCGCAAGCAGCTTGGAGGAAGCACAAACTCTACTGCTGCTTTGCTGTCTATATACCGAGCGTTAGCATTTGAATACTAAACAAATCAAAAGCAGTGACAGAACTGCCAACTTTCATTTGATACAGATCAGCCTTCTTGGATGGGGTGTCCACCAGTTGCTTTGAACTACAACTCCCAGCTGATGGGAACTGTAGTCCAAAATATCTGGGTGGCCCCAGGTTGCAGAAGGTTGATGCAGACCATAAACGTCATTTGTTGAAGTAATATGCAAGGAAATGCTTTACATAATGCCAATATTATTTATCTAAAGTATTACTGGCAACAAATATGCCGTATTTTTCGCTCTATAAGACGCACCAGACCACAAGACACACCTAGTTTTTGGAGGAGGAAAACAAGAAAAAAATATTCTGAATCTCAGAAGCCAGAACAGCAAGAGGGATCACTGCGCAGTGAAAGCAGCAATCTCTCTTGCTGTTCTGGCTTCTGTGATAGCTGCACTGCCTGCATTCGCTCCATAAGACGCACACACATTTCCCCTTACTTTTTAGGAGGGAAAAAGTGAGTCTTATAGAGCAAAAAATACGGTACTTAATATTTCCCACAAAAGAATAATAGAATCATAGATGGATGGGACTCTGAGGATCCTCTCGTTCAACCCCCTGCAATGCAGGAATATGCAGCTGTCCCATATGGGGATCAAACCTGCAACCCTGGTGTTATCAGCACCATGCTCTAACCACCTGAGCAATCCAGTCAAAACTATCATCGGACTATTTTGGGCAGATCTGACAGATTTGCCCTATTTCTCCCCTTTAACTGAACTTTATATTCCCTTGCTGGTGGTCTGGAAAGTGCAGTGAGTGTAGAATGCTGCAGTGCAGCTGCTGACAGGAATGAGACCCTCCCAGCATACCACAACTCGGCCCAAAGGTTTGCAATGCCTGCTGATTTGCTACTGGGCCAAGTATTCCTTTAAAGCCCTTAATACCTTGGGACCTGCTTGCTTGAGGGACCAACGTGCGCCTCTCATGCCTTCTCCACCACTTTGATTTACAGGGCTTGCACTCTTACAAGTGTCTTATAATAATCATTCCACGTCTGCCCAACTTTCAGGGTGGCAGCAACTATGCCATGGAACTCCCTGCGTGTTAGCGCTATTCAGGCACTCTTGCTATACTGCTTTTTGACGCTTGCTAAGACGACTTTAAGGGCCGTGGGTTGCGCTGTGGGTTAAACCACAGAGCCTAGGACTTGCCGATCAGAAGGTCGGCGGTTCGAATCCCTGCGACGGGGTGAGCTCCCGTTGCTCGGTCCCTGCTCCTGCCAACCTAGCAGTTCGAAAGCACATCAAAGTGCAAGTAGATAAATAGGTACCGCTCCGGCGGGAAGGTAAACGCGTTTCTGTGCTCTGCTCTGGTTAGCCAGAAGCGGCGTGGTCATGCTGGCCACATGACCCGGAAGCTGTATGCCGGCTTCCTCGGCCAATAAAGCGAGATGAGCATCGCAACCTGAGTTGGCCACGACTAGACCTAATGGTCAGGGGTCCCTTTACCTTTAAGAATTTGTCCAGGCCTATCCAGATATGTACCTGCTTTTAAATTCTGCTGATTTTATCTTCATCTCATTATACTGCATAATGCACACTGCTTAAGAGATTATTCTTTATTTTACTGAGTGGTTTATATATATGTTTTCTAAATCAGTAAACATCGGCATTTCTGCGCTTTTGAACATTTTGTAAACTGTAAGCACGGATGCAGAAAAAGTGGTGCAGAAACATACATATGCGAACACATGAAGCTGCCTTATAATGAGTCTAATTATCATTGGTCCATGTGGCCTAGCAAGGTACACTCTGACTGACAGCAGCCCTCCAAGATCTGGGGATGCTGCCCTGTTTATCTGAGATGCTGGACTACAACTCCCATCATTCCTAGCTGGCATGACCAGTGGTCAGGGATGATGGGAGCTGTTGCCCGACAACATCTGGGGACCCGCAGGTTGAGAATTGCTGCATGCAGACAATCTACTCTGCCAACGAGCTATGGAAAAGGTGTGTCACATTTCATCTGGCAACTTACAATTAAGGGGGGGGGGCAGATGAGGACAAACCCTCCTTTTCAATTCACTCATCTAACACACCAACAAAGGAATTCACATCAATTCTTTCCAAAATTACAGCAGGGTATTTTTGTTGCTAAGTGAGAGGAGGGTGCGGGGGGAGAGTGAAGAGCGCCAGATGGACTGCAAGCAAAGCACGGCATGCCTATTCTCAATATAGCTGCCTTAGAAACAACCATCTACTCCTATGAAAGTGGGAGAGAGGCAGCAACTATGTAGACTGAAGAATCAACCGTTCAGGCTAGGCAATGAGGCAAACTCAAGATTTGGCTGTCGGAAACACGCAACTTGCTCATGGTCCTCCACATCCTGGTTTCTAGGAACAATAGTTTGCCTCAATGTCTGAGTTAAGCAAATTATGGGTATCACTAATCCCAGTCCACCTCCAAACAGAATGAGAAAGCATGGTTTGAAGTGGGCTTTCACCTCTAGATTGGAGGCAACCCAAGATCAACAGTACTCATAGTTTCAGACATCACAACAACTTATTATTACCGTAACCCAGGAAGCACAGAAGGTAACTGGGATGTGCAAGCACAGAAAGTGTTCCCAACGACCAAATTATGGTTTGTTTCACCTGCATTGAGCCAGGATCTTGCTAGTCCATGCAGTCATGCATTATCATGGCACAAGTCTTTGTGACACAGAAAAACACAGAGGCAGTCCCTTTTTTAATTTATATGCTTCAGAGTCCTGTCTGGAGACTAGACACCTGAAATGCTCAGTCTTAGAATAACCTGGCGGGGAATTATTTTTAAATGTTCTTGGGGTTTTCTGCTTTTTCAATGAGCAGCAGACCGCCTCCCACTCCCAATGTCACATCACAAACAGTTTTTGCTATTCTCCCCCGTTTCAAACATCTTCTACTATGAAGCATTGTGTGTTTCGGGTGTTCCTGTGTGTCGGCATCAGTCTAAAGTTCCCTTAGGCATGCAAACAAGTTAAATGGATCTTTGGATTTTTAAAATGTGAAAGCAGCTTTCTGGTTCAGACCAAAGGTCCATCTAAGTGCAACATTTTGCTTCTTTCAGCAGCCAACCAAGTATTTTTGGAGGCCACAAGCTGGACATAAAGTCAATAGCCTCCTCTGCTTTTGCTCCCCAGCACTTTAGATATACACTCTTATAAAAATGGAGGTATCATAAAAGCCATCATCACTAATAGCTGTTTCTCCACGCATCTGACTTGTCCCCTTTAAAACTACCATGGTACGTAGAACTGAATTTTGTAAAGTCTGCAATACACACCCCTTCTAGAGGTATTATTATTATTATTATTATTATTATTATTATTATTATTATTATTTATACCCCGCCCATTTGGCTGGGTTTTTCCCGCCACTCTGGGCGGCTCCCAACAGAATTAAAAGCACAATAGAACATCAAACATTAAAAACTTCCCTAAACAGGGCTGCAATGCATATTCTGAAAGAACAAGTCACTTTGCTGTCAAGAGAACTGACCCTCACTCTGTCCTGGCTAAAACAGAATATAAAAAGAATCCTTCCAGTGACTAATGTGGGTGTGCAAATGGGATATGGAGCCCAAGGATTTGCAAGACATCCTCAGTGAAAGGTTCTCATGTCACAAAGCTGGGGGAGACTTTGAGATTCCCTACTGCCTGTTTGGACAGAGAATACTGGGCTAGATGGACCAATAAAAATGATTCAGTATAAAAGCAGTTATTCTCTTATATAAAATGGCTGCCAGCTACCATGCAGTATAAATCCCAGTGTAATCCGATACAGTATAAGAATAATGTTCCATATTATGGGAAATGAAGCTAAAGTTTTAGGAATCTAAGAACCCAACTTTAGAGCAGACCAAAAGTTCATCTTGTTTCCCACAGTGGCCAACCAAATGCTCTGTTCAGAGACACAGGGATTTTGGTACGTTTTGGATTTCATTTCTCAAATAACTAAATAAACCAGGTAATTTAGCAAGACGTTTCTTAATTCCATAAGGAACCAATGCCACTTAAAAGTATCCCGAAATCAGTTCTGTATTTTACGTTAAAGAAACGTACAGAAGATTCAGGATAAACCAGCATCAATAACAACCTGCTTCCTGAAACAGTATCAGAGTTGCAAAAATTAAGACAGATTCAACTTAAATAAAAGGTAAATGGAATGGTTAACTACTAGTATGTACAAAGGGGACAATGGTCCAACACCAAACACTGATGATTTTAATGCGGGGAGGAATCATAGCCAGTTGCAGATTGACATTTGCTGTTGAAAATAGGGCTTTAAACTTTATATGCAAGGGTGAGAATTTTTTTAGGTGGGAAGTGAGAATGTGTGTTACAACACTAACTGGCGTTCAGAGTTAAGCAAAGGCGTAATTTTCCGCCCCACAATATCATCAGAGTTCAGTGCAATATGGTATCAATTGACATTACATGGTCAATAAAAAATGTTTTGAGTGCAGAAGATACGAGGGTCAAGTACAATATTGACTGTTTCTTATCTAGCCAATTAAGGAGCTACTCATAATTTTTTCATGTTTTGCAAACAAGTTTACTTTAATTGTCAGTAATATTGTCAAAAGTCGAATCAGACAGGTCTAAATGAGCCAAATTGTATTTAGACAATAACTGGAGTCAAGTCAAAATTGTACCACTCCTACATGTATAATCATGCAAAAATGTATAATAAATGTATATACATGCAGAGTGATATTCTTATCACCTACCCAGAGAATAACTTGGGTGAAAGTCTTCATCAGTAGGAAATACAAGCATAAACTTGCTATCTGTAGCTCCAACTCCTGTATCTTCCACACTTCCAAACAGCACACCTTATAACTTAGCTTAAATTTTTAGCATACATTGAACAAACAGTT